AGTTCAATCTAGTATTTGTGGTGTTAGAACACGAGACTATATGTTATTATGTAATTCATTTAATTGAATCGTAAATTAATGTTATTAATAACGTTACCTAAATTGATATTAAACACAAGTAATGCTAATAGCATTAAATCGATTTTTATTAAAATCTTATAAAATTTTATAAAAAACAATTTGTAAAACAACCCTTGATCGAACATGTCAAAAGTTTGAAAGATATATTGTGTTACGAGAAGTCAATAACTCCGGCCAATAATGTTTTACACGTAAACGACAATAAATGTGGATAAGATTTTATATAGAGAAGACTTCAAGGCAACTTCCTTTAGATTCTTTTTCAGTCTGTAATATCAGATCACAAGTGTAGTTGACGCCCTTAAATGCAGTTTATTTATTTATTATTTTCTGAAAGAAAAAATCATTTTCAATTTCTTAATTTGATTTTCCGTTTGAAATTACAAAATGATTAGAAAGAATCAAGTTACATGTCATTGAAAAATCAATTTTGAACACTTTTTTTTCAAAAACTCATTTTTCAAAAACTCATTTTTTTTTAAAAAAAAAATTCGTTTTCAACCACACATTCTTCCAGAAAATAATTTTTTAAAAGTTGAAAACATTATTCAAAAGTTCACATTTTTTAAATAAAAAAAATAGAGGAAGATGTTTTCACTCAATCGGACGGTCCAGTACTTCAAGCGGATACTCAGTCTTGTCCAGGCAGAAGTCCAGATTATCCAATGATCATTTTTTATCGTTTTAATTTTTGACGCATAAAAGCTACTTTGGTCATCCGGTTCAAAATGCGGACATCTGGTTACTTGTCTGGTTTCACAAATAATTTTGCTCACTGAACTCTGTAAATATATTTACTTTTGTATTCATTGCAAGACTTTTTAAGAGCATTAAAAGTGAGATATCTTGAGCAAAATTATATTGATCTTAGTTCTTATTTATTATCAAATCATTTATTGTGAAAATATTTTGATTGATTAAATCAAATTCTTTATTCATCTTCATCATCAAAGTTTTCTCATCCAATACTTGAACTTTTATTTATTGCTATTCATTGAAATATTATCATATTTCTCTCTTAATATTTAATTTGTTTATATCAATTATTAAGATACAAATTTTAAATTATAAAATTATTTTCTTTAAATTTGTGGATCATATTGAGGTTTCTAGAAAGCTCAATAGTTTGGGTTATATTAAGCTTCTGTAAAGCTCATTATTGTATAAGGATAAGTGTTCCTTGTTATTTTGTAAGTCACCGAAAGTTTTGTAAGATTTTAGATTGTGCCATAAGTCAATCAAAATTTGTTGCTCGTGATGGAGAGTTTGGTAACGAAGGACGTCGATAATTTGTTAGGTCCCAAAATTTATATTTTTAAGTTAATTGATGTAGCTCACTTAAGAAACGAGCAATGGAGGATTGGTTCATTCAAGATGATAAAAGCCCAATCCATAATTTATTTAAAAATAAAAAAATTAAGACATTAAGTTTAAATAAATTTGATTACAGAGATTTAATTAATAACTGGGTTGCCACAAAGGTTATCTGGATGATATTTCACATAGGCATCCTAGGTTTGAACCACCATGTAGATATTTTTATAAAATTATTTTGAGTTAAAAACTCCTGATTTTGTACATTAAGAACAATTATATCAATTTATTGGATGAAATAATTATTTTATTAGTGGCATTCATAGAAATAGGTTACAAATCATTTGAATAGTTCATTTTCCTCTATTTTTCATTACGTAAATTTTTTATAAAACTTTTATTAGAATTATTTTTATGGGCTTAAAACTCTTCAAATTTATAGTTAAAGACTTAATTTAACAAGGTTAATGATAATATAACTCTCCCATTTAATTTTTCACTAAAACGAGAGGTTACAAGAAGAGCAAAGTCACTTTTTTCACTATACATCTCCTCAAATCCAAATTTGTATTTTTTTTTCAAGGGATTCTTCGAAATCATGAATTTGCCTGTATTCATCTATCCGAAATGTTAAATTCTTTCCTGTCAATTTGTATATATGTTTTTATGTTTATGACCAAAAGGGTGCACCGTGTGATACTAATCATACTGAGCTTAAAGCTCACACCTTCTATGTTAACAAATTTTTCAAATTAAAGGATGGTCGAGGAAGTGGGATTTACGTGGATTGCGGAGGATCTGAAGGGAGAAGGTGCTTCATTGTGTAATTAGTGACATTTGAAGAGTTTCTAGTACTTACTAGTTATACAACTTACGTTTAATTTCTAAAAGACTTTAGTTTATCTTTCTTTAAGATTTCCAAGTTTTTTCTCTTGATGTGAACATTTAAATTGTTATTTTGTTTAAGTATGCGTGTAATTAAAGTTGTTAAAGAAGTTACGATTAAACGTTAGATTTGCACACAAAAGAATTCAACTTATTACCTGAACTTTTTCCATCATTCCGGACAATTTTTTTTGAAATTTGGATAGAGCTAGTATGGTTTGGGAGGCCGATGAGTCCTTTGTCCGATGGCTTTGGAATCAAGTCAATTAAAGGTTGGTAAGATAAGTTATGCCCTTTTCCGCGTTCTATATTCATTGTACCTGAGAACCATTTCTTTTCTTTCACACCTTTGAGTGTCTAAATGATCTTAGAAAATTCTGAGATTTTACTATATTGTATTTAAATGAGTATAAAAAATCTATAAAAATTTCATAAAATTATGAATCCGATAAATTGACCAACTAATTTTGATCGTTGGATAGCACATTGCTGAATTTAACTCGGTTAATTCACGCTAACATTCATTTTATCTCTTCGTTTTAGTTTCGTTATTTAACAAATCAAAGTTGTTTACCTTAGATCATTTGTTTCCAATAAATTTTAGAACTTATAATAGAACGCAAGAGTAATAACAAAATTAAAAGAAAACCAAGAAAACTTTAATTTTAAACTGAATTTTTTGAAGGAAAAAAAAAAACGGTGTTGTTTTTATACTAATTTCAAATTCCAAGAATTTGGTTGTTACATCATTGTTTTGGATCGAACCTCCACAATCATATCGTTTGCACACTAGCTCTTATTTATCGCTTTTGTATTTGTGCATAATTATTCCATTGTTTTATTAATTCATAACTTGTTTAAATTTGAATAAATTTCTTGAAACAGTTTTGAAAACCGATTTACCCCATCTTGATTAGTTATTCTTGAAATATCAATTTGAATAAAAAAAATAATTAATTTATAATTGGGTTTCAGCTAGTTAGTATCATAATTTAAAAAGCTCGACGAGCAATTTGATTCATCTAGAACTCAAACAAGCAATTAAATTTTAACATTCATGATATCGTTAAATAAGTTATCGTCTTATTACAAAGTGTGTTGTTCGAAGTTCAGACAAAATTCCAAATTGTTTAAATAATAAACATATAACTTATAAGTGGTTAAATTAGCGATAAGTGTATTTTTATACTGTATACTTGCTTATTTATTTAATCAGTTGGTGATTATTTACCTTGTCACTTTACGTTCATGCATTCTGGTGGCAAGACATTATCATATTCAACCCGAGTTCGGAGGTAATATTAATAGCTTATTTGATAAACTTTATATCAGCTTTTCAACTCATCAAATTTTCGATTTCAATTATGAGACCCACTATTTTTATGAACTTTTTTTTTTTTTTTTTATCAAAATTTACTAAAAATTATTATCTTATTTGAGTAATCTTATCTTCGCGAGACTAGATAATGGGTTCCAAGCTCAAGA